GTGTCCAGCCTGTCATGAGGTGTTCATGACATACATACCACACATACACATAAAGACACTTTTACTTTCCTCCTTAGCCTTCCCCTACTAAAACAGCAGATGTGATTAAAGTACAAGCACATGCATGTATATTTGTGCATGCATGTGTTTGTAGAGTGTGTCTCCTTTTCTCCACCCCCACTGCTGGTGTTCTAAGTCAGGCCACTCTCATCCTAATTGCTCACCAAAGCTATGACAACAGGTTCCTAACTGGTCTCCCGGCCTTGCGTCTTGCTCCACCTTGATCCTTTCTCCTCACTGGCTGCCAGCTATGTAAAATTTCTTTATTCAACAAATATGTATCGAGTGCCTACTCCAAGCTGAATACTCTTCTGGACACTGTAGATACAGTAATGAACAAAACAGATGAAGCTCCCATGTTCATGAAGTTTATATTCTAGTGGAAAAAGAGGGATGATAAGCAAACATATAAAATAATGGTGGTGGCAAGTACTGAGATAAATAATAATAATAATAATGCAGTGAGGAGATAGAATGACAATGGGCTATTTAAGATAGACTATTGGGGAGGTCTTTCCAAATACGTGACTTTTGAGCAAAGACTTGAATACAGTGAGGAAGTGAGTTGCCTGGATATCTGGGGGAAGAGCATTTCAGGCTGAGGGGAAAAGCAAGGGCGATTGCCTCCACATGGAACTGTGCTTTTTATGGAACAGAAAAGAAGCCCACGTAGCAGTGGCCCCTGAGATCCAGGAGGTAATAGGGGACTTTGCACACATAGCACTCATGTTGCTCAGGATGCACTACACTTTGGATTTCACTGTGAGTGAGATGGAAAGCAACTGGAAAGGAAAGACCTCATTTTACTCTGGCTGCTTTTTGGGGAAGAGTCTTTGGAGGTGGGGCTGGCAAGGGTGGAAGTGGGAAGACCATCTGGAATATTTCCTGTCACTGAAATACCTGTTCCCACAGTTGCTCACCTGGTAAGCACCTGTTCAACTTTTAAGCCTCAACTCAAAAGCCTCCCCTTCTATGGATCCTTTACCAAACCTTTCCCTTCCCCACTCCAGAGCCAACCTACCTCTCTTTAGGTCCCCAATCCCTCCAATGAACACTTAAGTGTATCTACCCTCCTTAACACTCTCCTTATTTGGTTCCAGGTCCTTTATCCTCCCAAGATTGCAAGTTATTCGAGGTCAGGGACCATCCCTAGTGCCCAACACAGCATGTGGCACATTAGAGGCATAAAATAACCACTGGTTGAATGAATGGATGCACTGGGTGAGGCACGTGTGATGGGGAAGGATATGTTTGCAAGCTATTGTTAACCTGGATGAGTGAGATGCACAAATGTATGGCCATGGGTTGTAATCAGACAAATGTTAGCATATGCCCACATATTTCTGTATATTCTGTTCACATGTATATGTGTTAGCATGTATGTGCATGCTGACAAATCCCCATGTTGGTATAGACACTCCTGTAGATTTGTTAATGGATGTACATGTTAGAAAGTGCACCTATGTTGATATATCCCTATTATGGCACAGACAAGTAATATGCTTATGTACCTGTACACGTGTATTGCTACGTCTTGTATGTGTGAGGCTTATGCACGCACTTGGGCTCCCCTCTTGCTCACTATCCCTTTCATCCACTAGGCCCAACTTGTTGGATTTTGAAACCTCTGTAGCAATGTTAATATTTAAGTTCCCATCCGCTTTCCCCACAGACAGCTCTGAGCACCACAGCATCTGAACAGCCTGAAGCCTGGATTTCTTACTCGGCTATCCCCAAGGCCTTATAGGTTTTCCCTCTGCAAACTCCTTTCATATGATGGAGAAGAGCTGGCTCCCAAGGACATGAGAATTTGAGAGACCTCAGAGAGCCTACTTTCTTGAGAAGAGCTACAAGTAGCAGGGTGATCAAGTTCAAGGTAATGGGAAGACACTTTTGGGTAGCCCAATATTCAGTCAGAATTGGTCTCTCTCTCTTTCTCACATTTATTCACAGGTTTGGCTCAACTTGTGTACATATATTCATATGTGGTTGATACAGTATGTATATGCATGCCCCACATACATGCTCACATGCATGCTTACACTCACACATATGCATTACTGGATAAGCACACCACACACACACACACAGACACACACACTAGTTAGTTCAGTAATTTCCTTCTCATTCACATATATCCCTGAATGCATACATAGAGTCATACGTATATATACACACATTCACACTTATACAAATAAATGTGCTTATACACATATACACAGCATACTCACACATACTTATGGACATATACACAGTCATATACCCACTCACAGGCAGAAATACACGTGCATGTCCATGGAGTCCCAGATCTTGCAGAGATATCCAGCCTCTCCCCTGGCTTCTATCCTGTCCACAAAGTTCGTATTCTCTCCAAGTACATCACAAGTTTGCGTTTGCTCTCTCCTCTTGCTAGTCTCCCACTTCTCTATTTGGAAAGTTGTTCCTGTTATCAATGAGATATACCCACTCCTGGACACATCCCATTCCCACCCACTCTCAGGGGGAAAAGAAACGTCACTTTTTTAAAAAGGGCTCTGTTATGTCCTCATCCCATGCCTAGAGAAACGAATATTTCCTCAGACAACCTTGGTAGGAGTAACAATAAAGTAGGTGTACCTCTTCAAACCCAGGAAACAATCCCCCCGTATACGCAACCCCTTAACTCTAAAAAAGAAAGAATGAAAGAAAAGAAAGAGAAAATATCAAGGCCAAAGGCCTTCCTCCCAGTACCTCTGGGTAAAAGTCTAACACTCTCAAACTCCAAAACAGTTATTGGGGCAGAGGAAGAAACAGTAAGGAAATTAACTGTGGGCACTAAAACCTCCTAGGACACCCCTTTTCTTCCCTAGAGGGCAACTTCATGATGAGTGAACCCCTCCCTTCCCAGCCTGTGGGCCCTGCCAAGGGAGAGGTTAGACCAGGGGGCTTAAAAATGTAAAGGGGACGACCTGGGCTCAAATAACAAAAGAAGCAAGTATTTTAAAAACAGAAGCTGGGAAAGGAGCAGAGAGGCAAGCTGCAGACACCTCCTGGCAGGGAAGCAGCTGCTGGAACAGTGGATCAGGAAGAGCAGGACTCTCCAAGGGGCCAGGGAAAAGGGGGTGGACATCTAGCATTTCATGTGGGGGTGGAGGGGTGACTGCTTCAGGCAGGAGCAGCAGCTCCAAAGTAAAGTCTTATCAAAGCTGTTATGTAACCAAGGGAGCTGAGTGGAGCACAAACACCTCCCCTCCCCAAACAGGCACCCACACCCACACCCACCACCTTCCAGCACCCACAGCAGAGGAAAACTCAGCTCCTCCCAAGCAGCTAGAGAAGGCAGGAATCATCTTGATGAGTTACATCAAAAACATGATGGGTGAGGGGCTCCTTATGAACTACAAGTCACATCTGGGAAGGGATCAACTGGTTCAGTTTGAGGTCCCTAGATTCCTCTCCCTTTTCTTGAACTCTCTGCCACACCCAATTTTTCCCCAGTATTATCTGGAAACTGTCTCCTTCCTCTCCTCACAGGGAGGATCCCATTTGAATATTTGATTGTACTCTTGGGGATGGGAGGCGAAGCCACCATCAACCCTTCCTGCCTGTTATTCCCCTACAGACTCATCTGCATGTCCTGACATTTGGCTTTCATTCCCCTGGGATGACAAGGGAAGGGACCTTGAGAAATAACTCCTTGCTCTATTCCCTTCACTGTTACAAAGACAGTGCATAAGATACAGATACTTGAAATGACCCTGACTCTAAGTAATAAGGAGAAAGATATCCAAGAGAACTAAAGACTGAGATCCAGACCTCATCCCTCCATTTGAATATTTTTTACTCCCCCAGATCTTCCTCTTTTCCCACTGCCCTGTCTCCAGTAGCCTCCTCCTTCTCTTCTCCATGGCACTGAACAACCCCACCCACTCCTTGAATCTTTTGCTTAAAAATCTTCCTCCCCAACAAAAAGTCTCTCCCAAATGCTGCTCTGAGCTAGGTTTGGAAATGGACAGAACACAAGACAGGCTTGCAGAATATTTCAGTGTCCCCTCTCCCAAATCCCAAAGTATGGTGGGCAAGGGAATAGCAAGCGGTCAATCAAGTGATCCTGAACTACTGAGCTGTAACCACCCCACACCTAACCAGAAAGACCCAAGTTCTCTTAATCCAGAAGCACCTTGAGCCTGAATTTCTGGGCCCCAGTAGGTGAAAGGTTGGTATCAATATCTCTGAGCTTGTTGCGCTAAAAAAACGTTCCCAGGAGATGAGATCTCACAGGCACAAAATCATTCTCCAACTCTACCCCAATAATAACAGTAGGATGGTTTTGGAAGGGAGAGGGGGAACTGAAACAGCAAAAGGGGAGAGGGGCCCCTTGGCGGAAGGTTTCCTAAATACCACTAACAACTGTAAGACCTAAAACATAGGAAGAACCCCAAATACATATTTCCATCCAGGGACTGTGCCCTTGGAAAGTGGGTCATCTGGGAGAATTTTTCTAGTGAGCCCTTCCCACTGCCCACCGCCTTTCCACCATCGGGACCAAACGAAGCCTCATTCAGCACTCGGGACAGCTCCGAACGAGCAAATCCCCGCCGAGTCCCATTCAGCACCCGGGACAGTTCCCAGCGACATTCCCGGCCCCGGTATTCAGAAACCCAGGCTGCCAGGAAGGAACAGGCTTACCCCACCACACACCCTCTTTAGAACAGAAGCCCCTCTCCCCTGCCCCTCCCACTGTCGCTCCCATCCACCGGGGGCACCTGACAATCCCCCCTACCTTCCCTCTATGTCCCAAGAGAGAAAAGAAACCCAGACATGGGGCTTCCCTGAGCGAGCCTTGAGAGAGGACCCCACCCACCTTCCTTCAGCCCAAAGCCTCTCAACGCCACTCACAGCTGGTTCTAAAAACCACTTTCCTTCTTAATCACCACCCCAAAAATAAAAGAAATACTCACGTGGGGGCTTCCAGCCCTGCAGACAGATGTGGTGGGGGGAGGCAGAGAGAGGTAGCTCCCCAAACCCTGTTCTGAGCCCCCTTTCTGAAGGAGCCAGCTCCCATCTGGACTGGGGGGAGGAGAGACATGTGGAAGCACTGAGTGAAGGGAGGGGAGAGGGGAGAGGGGAAGAAGCAGGAGCGAGGGACTGCGGGGCGGGGGTGTCGAGATGGGGGCGAGGGAATCCTTTTTAATTGCATTCTCTCCCCATGTCTACATCAGCCCTGCAGGCTCAGCTCTTTAATATTTACACACAGGAAGAGGAGAGGATGAGAAAGAACAGAGAGTGAGGGGGGCAGAGACTACCTGAGCTCAAAGGGCATAGAAGCAGGGACCTTTGGGAGCTAGGAGCTTGGGCCCCCGACACCATCCCCAGCCCACTTCCACTCTGAGTTCTTGACTGGAAGGAAGAAGAAGGAACCCTGGGACCATTCTGTCCCTTTGTTAACAAGACACTTTGAAGCTGCATCAGAAAAAGATCAGATCCCCACCCACATACCTGGACACCCCCACAAACCCAGATTTCTTGGGTGCCTTATGTGCAGATGGTAGAGACAGTATTCAGGCACAAGCATGTTCTGAAGCTTGGAAGCATGTTTGCCTGTGGGCTGCTGTGTAAAAACACATGAACATGTCAGCTAGCATGTATAAGTTTATACAAGCATGTTCTGAGTGTTTTCACATGTTAACAGCCCACGCAATCATATGCAAGCCTATGTAACCATATGTGTAAACCAGCTTCCAAGAAGCCTCCCCGCAGCTCTCCAGCTACAGTCCCAGGGACAAGGCCACCCACTTCTCCAGACTCCCTTATTCCCAGACCCCTCCCTCAAAGCCTCACTTTTTCTGTCTGTGACATGGGAAGAAGGGCTGGTAGGAAGAGATGCTGCATAGAGCCCAGGGGCCTGACAAGTTATTAGCAACGATGAGCTGGCAGCTCGTTACCATAACGATGGTGCCACTGCCTCACCCCAGCTCAAACCCAGACTCCCCAGACAGCAGGAGGCCCGCTGAGCCAGCAGCCTTCAGACTGGGGAGGGGCGGGGTGGATAAAGAGGAAATCAAGACATAATGCTTGCATAGTGGAGGGTACACAGCTGTTCTTCCAACCCCCACTGAGTGACAAAGCTTTGACTCTACCAAGTGGGAATGAAATCAGAATCTGGGAAGGTTTCCTGACCATGGGGATGGTAAGACCGGAAGGGGTCTTTGGAAGCTCCTCTAGGCAAAAGTTTTTATCATCATTTGCTCCCTTCACCACCTCACCCCCAAAAAACTAAAAAGCAACCAAATACGGGGCCCCTTGCTGAATTTCAGTCTCCCCACCTGTAATATGGGGGCAATCCCTTTATCATTTGTCCTAGACTCCTGGAAGATTTCATTAGAAAGGGTTTAGGGGTAACTACAGACCCTTCCTAAATCAGACAAGCCCCAGAAGTTTCTCTATTCATTAGGAACCCAATAAGGTAAGGAATAGTCCATCCAGCTAGAGGCAAAATGCATTGGAAATTGGGGAGGATGAAGGAAAACGAGCTTAGCCAGCTCGAGCCCCAACATCAGCTGGAAGAGATGATGTTAGGTGTCAGGCAGCCGCTGAAAGCAGGTACTAACACGAGAAAGTCTGGGAGTCTGGCCTGTAGCAGCTCCAGCCCCTCACCAGCAGGAATCAAGACAAGACAAGCCCATGGCCTACCTCGGTGGTGGGTGTGGCTAGGAATCCCCATCCCCAGCGACATCTGTAGCACCCTCTCTTTGGCAAGGAGTCCCAAGTTGAAAGATGTACAGCCTTAGGCTTTTTGAGTCTTCATTTCTTTTCCAAAAATCCCCTGTACTCAGCTCTGATGGGGGTGGGGAGAGTTCAGGAATAGAAGGCAACATGGAGGATTGCAAAGTTCCTGGTCTAAGATTAGCCTAGGAACCCACAAATTTGTTGTGTGACCTTGGGCAAATCCGCTCCCTTCTCAGGGCTTCAGAGTCCCCAGTTTGTAATGAAGACATTGGACCAAGTCAATTCGAAGGTTCCTCTCCTGGCCATCATTCTACAGCTACATACAAGCTCACTCCTTGGATGTGAGCCCCCTGGCACAAAATTCAGTGAGCTCTGCCTGCCAGATCAGTGGGGCAGTGGCGGGTGGGAGATGCGGGGGCTGTATGTGAGGCCGTTCATCCTATGTTCATGTTCCTTTTAGAAACACCTGCCACCCTAGCCCTCCCAGCTCCCTTTTTAGACCCTGATTCACTGCCAGCTCACGAAGCCTCTCCCCCCCCCCCCCCCCCTCTTCCCCCCCCCCCCCCCCTTTTAGGCATTGGCAGCTGGGTGCAGAAGTAGCCCCAGCATTCAGGGAATGCTGCGCAGAGGTAGAGGGCAGTGCCCCCAGGGTCAGAGAGAGCACACCAGGAAGTACCACTCTCTAACCTTGGCCCAGCCCAGTGCTTTGGGTCACTGAAAGACCTGGGCTGAAGTCTTTCTGTACCACTGACTAGCAGTGTGTGGTTGTGGGAAATGCAATTCATTTCTCAAGCCTCAACATCCTCATCTGTAAATCGGCATTATAATTGGTTGAACCATGTGAAATTGCTGTTTTTGTAGGTTAAATATAAACAGTTGAATATTGGCAATTTCATATGGCTTAATGTGATACCTGTCCTGCCTGCTTCCCAAGGCTGTTGGGGAAATAAGAAGAGTTCAGAGGGCAGCATTTTCAAAAGCCCTGAACTAATATGAGGGCATTATTTTATTATTATTACTTCAAAGAGCTTAGTACAGACCCACCCGGAGCCAGTGGACTGAACCAATGACCCAGAACTTGAAGGCTTGGGACTTGGAAGTCTAGGAGAGCGCCACCTGCTCTGATGACTAACAGGGCAGACGCTTCCACCTGGCCTCCTCATCTCCTAGCTCTAAAAGGCCCTCGGTGAAGCATTATTGAGATGACACAAGTTCCCAGACCCCCAAAAGGAGAAGCAGCACACACAGGCACATACTCCAGCTCACCCCAGATCCCCCCTCCCACCCACCAGGGACCTCAGCATGCAGGAAGGACATGACCAGCAACATCCCAGAGGGCACCCCCCGAGGTAGGTGAAGGTAGAGACCAAGATGGGGAGTGCCACATAGCTCTTGCCTGAATGGAATGAAGGGTCAGGGGTCCCCAGAGAAGGGGGGATGATCTGACCTCGGAAAAGTCTCATCTCCCTGTCCTATATCCCACCAGGAATGGGAGGACGGTGGGGGGACAAAGCACAGGTGTGGGTGATTCAGAGTTAACCGTGCTCAGATACACTCTCTCTCACACAGCCAACGCACGCGCGCACACTCGCACACACACACACAGTCACACAGGGCAGATACCGGGATCCACTCACAGAGATAGTCACACCGGCACACACATCCATTCACACACTCACAGAGACACACACGGGGACAACACACACTCATTCACTCACATGTCCACAGATACATACACAGTACCACCCTCCACACTCACGCTGCATACACCCACTAACATGCACACACACTCTCGCCCACAGTGGCACACGCACACACGGCATACACTCACCGGCACACACAATCACCCACAGACCCACACAGTGACACACTCGGCACAGACACACAGCGACACGCACTCACATTCACACACCTGCAGAGGAAACTTCTCTCCGGATCTCCCCAACACTACGACTTCCCCCCCCCAACCAGCGGGCTACTCCCTCCCAGACCCAAGCCTCCAGCGGGCGAGGGCTGGGCCGGGGCTGGCCTGCCCCCGCGGCACTGACCGGGAGAGTGGGTCCGCGGTCCGCGTGGTCCCCGCCCGCCCCTCGGGTCTGGCCCGCTGGCAGCCAGGCCGGGGCAGGGGCGGGGGCAGCCGAGGAGGCCCAGCCCCTCCCCCCTCCCGGGGCCCGGAGCCGAGGCCGCTGGAGCCCGGGGCGTGGGCGGCGCCCGGGCCGCAGCCGGGCCGAGCCTGGGGGGCGCTGCAGAGGGCGCCGCAAGCGCGGCCCCGTCCCCACTCCTCCCCGCGGCTTACCTGGCCCGGCTCGGGCTACGGCCGGGTTACATGGTGCCAGCGGCCCGGGCCGGGGGCGTTGCGGCGTTGGGCAGGCGGGCAGGGACCGGGGCCCGGCACTGCGGAGCCCCCAGCTGAGGGGCCGCGCCGGCTGCGGAGCCCCGAGCGAGCGCCGAGCGGCAGCGGGCGCGGGAGCGGGAGGCGGCCAAGCCACGGAGGCTGGATTTCCCGGGGACCGGGAAGGGGAGGCGGGGGGGATCCCGCCCGCGCGCTCCGCCCCCGCCCCCGCCCCCGCGCAGGGCGACCAAGCCGGGAGAGGGAGAGGGAGAGGGAGGGGGACCGAGCTCCTCGCCCCCGCGCGGACCCAGGAGAGCCGAGGTCGCCGCCCGCGGGCGGCCGCCGGGGTCCCCGAGGAGCGCCCACCTCGCTGAGCGACGGTGCTGGGGGCGCCCAGCGTAGGGGCAGGAATGAGATCCCCCTCCCCGGGGACCCAGGAACAGGCACCCGAAGTGTCACGGCCACGCACAGCCGACCTGGGCACAGGGACCCAAGCCCGGCGGCGGGCGGGCGGCCGGGGGCCAGCTTAGCCTCACTGACCGGGTCTCGCCCCCCGCCGAGGCGCAGTCACGCCCTGAATGTCACACACAGCTCCCAGGCCCGTCCGCTTAGGAGACTCTCCTTCGGGCTTTCCCAGTCGGCCGCCCGACCTCAGCTACTGGCCTGGGGTCAGGGGGCCCCTCTTCTTCTGCCCCAGCCCCTGCCAGGATGGGGCGCTGTGCCCGGCCTCGGAGCCGCTGGCAGGCATCCCCCACCCACAGTCCGTACAGCCGAGGCATCCCCAGTGTGGAGGGAGAGCCCCGCTGTACCTGCAGCCTGTGCTGGGCCCCCGCCTGTGCCCACTGTGCCCGCCCGCCTGTGGGCCCTGAGCCTGGGATTGTGCCGTGGCGGTGTCGGGGTCGGGGGAAAGGGACTGTTCGAAGCACAGCTGGAGGCTGCGGAGCCCGGACACAGGCTGCGGGAGCCGAGAGGCGGAGAGCTGACTGCAGCAGTCCCCTGGCTTGAATCCGTCTTGGCGCCCAGAGCGATGCTGTAATGGGGGGGAGGGGGCCGCGGTGGGGAAGCCGCAGGGGGAGGGGCTGAAGACTTGGGGGAAGGGGTGGCTCCGGAATCTGGCTTTCCAGGGTGCGTGTGAGGGAACACTGCCTCCGGCGCTGAAAGTTGGGGGTGGAGGTTCAGTGGGCCCTCTTCCCTCCTCTACCTTTTCCGATCTTGAAAACTTGGGGTGGTGAGGTGTGGGCTTCGGAGGCTTGGGAGACTGCCCACCTCTCTAGGAACATACCTTGGAGTTGTTCTGATTCAACAGCCCCCACCCTGCACCCCAACAACTTCCTGCTCTCTGTTTCCTTGTGGAGCCACCGGCTCTCCTCCCTGTATAAAGGGGGAAACCGAGGCAGGGGACGGAGAAGCTAAAGACCCAGAAGAGCTACAACTGGGAACCAAGACCTCTTTTCCTCAGGGAGATGATGTTTTAAGATGCCACATTATATTAACTAACATAAGGGGCTTGGAGAGCCCTCCTCCCAAGGGAGACCTAGAAGTCTGGTAAGAGACTAGTGGATTGGTCACCTACCCTGCTGCTCACAAGAACAGTTCATTGTCTCTTCAATCATGAACTGAGGTTGCAGACCATTTCCAGCCCAGGGTTCAGTCAAGAGCAAATGTCAGAGAAAATAAGAGAGAAAGTTGTTCCCAGGAACCTACTTTAGAACTGAAGGAAACATCTCACTTTCCGTGGAGCATAAGAAGAGCCCTCAGGCCTAGCGCGGTAGCTCACGCTTGTAATCCTAGCACTTTGGGAGGCCGAGGGGGGGCAGATTACCTGAGGTCAGGAGTCCAAGACCAGCCTGGCCAACATAGTAAAACCCCGTCTCTACTAAAAATACAAAAAATTAGCCGGGTGCAGTGGCATGTGCCTGTAATCCCAGCTACTCAGGAGGCTGAGGTAGGAGAATTGCTTGAACCCGGGAGGCGGAGATTGCAGTGAGCTGAGATTGTGCCACACTGCCGCCTGGGCAACAGAGCCAGACTCAGTCTTAAAGATTAAAAAAAAAAAAAAAAAAGAACAGCCGACAGCCAGGCGCAGTGGCTCACGCCTGTAATCCTAGCACTTTGGGAGGCTGAGGCAGGCGGATCACCTGAGGTCAGGAGTTCGAGATCAGCCTGGCCAACATGGTGAAACCCCGTCTCTACCCAAAATACAAAAATTAGTCTGGTGTGGTGGCGGGCACCTGTAATCCCAGCTACTCAGACACTGAGGCAGGCGAATCACTTGAAACCGGGAGGCAGAGGTTGCAGTGAGCTGAGATCGTGCCATTGCACTCCAGCCTGGAACTCCGTCTCAAAAAAAAAAAAAAAAGAACAGCCATCACAGAGGATGCTAAATAGCACCACAGTGTTTTCGCAGTTCTAAGACCTGTATTTTGTAAACTATTCTGAAACTGGAAAGCATCTTACAATAAACGAGGACATTTAATATGACTCTTCTACCTTTCTGTTAAAGCTATCAGAGTTGGTGCATTTTAGAATTGAGAACATGATGTTATTTTCATTTGTTCATTCAACAACCCTTTACTGATTATACCTGGCACCTTGCTAGCCTCTTGGGGGCATACAGATTAATCAGACAGGCTTACCTTAGTCAGCGTTCTCTCATAGCCATCCAGTGATTAGTAAGGGAAATGGAGATGTAAACCAATAATTACTATACGGGCCAGCTTCATGGAATTGTGACCTGTGTGGTTGTACAGAACTCCACATGTAGAAGGGCATCACTCTTAGTAGAATATTCTGCTGTCACTGTCTTAAAATTGTTAATAATTTTTGAACAAGGGGCTCACCCTGGGCCTAGCTCTGCCTAGGTGAAGAGGACAGACAAAGAAGCACAAAAAGCTGGGCGTGGTGGCTCACTCCTATAATCCAAGCACTTTGGGAGGCAGAGGCAGGCAGATCACCAGGTCAGGAGATCGAGACCATCCTGGCTAACACGGTGAAACCTTGTCCCTACTAAAAATACAAAAACAAAATTAGCCGGGCATGGTGGTGGGCACCTGTAGTCCCAGCTACTCGGGAGGCTAAGGCGGGAGAATGGCGTGAACCTGGGAGGTGGAGCTTGCAGTGAGCAGAGATAACGCCACT